ACTGATGAAGAAAGGGACAAACTTTGCCAAGTTCTCATGAAATATGAGAAGTCATTCTCGACTGACTCAATGGATTGTGGGTTGACCTCGCTCCACACAGTGAGCATCCCAACTCCGCCCAACTCACCGCCTACATTTGTCAGACAATACAAGATTCCCCTGGCCGCACATCAACCTGTCAAGGAAATCATTGATGACATTTTAGATAAAGGCATAATCAGACAATGTAATAGCACCTACTCTGCGCCTTTATGGTCAGTTTTGAAACCAAATGGTAAGTGGAGACTTACCATAGACTACAAAAAGCTAAACAAACAAGTTCCTTTATCTAGGTGGCCAATGATCCAGATCCAACAGGAACTGCCAAGGTCACCGATGGTAAGTACTTTTCCACCCTCGACGTCGCCTCTGGTTTTTGGACCATTCCTGTGCGCGCCGAGGACCAACACAAACTAGCTTTCACATTTGGTAGCCGACAATACACCTTCACCAGGTCCCCCTTTGGCTACGCTAACTCACCAGCTGAGTTCAACATCTTTTTGAACAAAGCATGTCCAGATGCCCACGAACGTGGGACACTGATCTACGTGGACGATGTCCTTTTGAGGCAGCCAACACTGGACTTACACTTGGCTGAGATCGACCACGTTCTGAATCAACTGACTACTGCTGGTGCTAAAATCTCACTGTCAAAATGCCAGTGGTGCAGGACCAAGGTGGACTACGTTGGCCTACTAGTGATAGCTTACACACCAGGTGCATATAGGTTAAGGTCTTATGTAAAATCCCACTCATAAGCCCAACTAAAACCACATAAATGCATAAACACATAGAACCAGAATGGCATCCACTGGGAAACACCAGCAGCAACCTTCGCTGAAGGGACCTAAAATTCCAACGTAAACGTTTAAAATGTAGTGATGTAGCTGTTAGCTTCACTAATAATTAATTATTCTTAAAGCTAGATCAAGCACAAAGAATATTAATTGTTTAATTACAACAGATTATTTTCTTTTTCGAGTTAAATTTCTGTTATGTGACCAAGATTGTTGTAAGTGTGGTCAACCCAGTTGTAACGAGAACCCAGAACGACACAAGACTGAGATACAAAATATGATATTTATTTACAGTGAAATTAAGATTATATACAATATATACAGGGGCCTGGAACTGGAACTCCTGGAAGAGGGAAATAGTTTGTTCAGACCGAGACTAGGTAATTGACGAGAGAAACAGTTTTGATTTGTTGTTTTCTGTCTTACAGTTTTGTTGGTACTGGAGTGAGTTCAGGAGTCCCAAGAAGTATGAGTCCCAGCCACAGGTTCTGTTATGATCCAAGATCCAAAAGTCAGGGTTTCCGTGAGGCCCGACAGGATGTCGAGAGGACAAGGCAAGATTGGTTCGTCCAAAGCGAGGAACTGCTGACATAGAAAACACAAGGTAAGTTATCATAAACACTGGAGAGCATAAAAGGCTGAGAGCACTAGTACCGAGAGGGAATCAATGCTCCAGCATCGAGTAGTCTTGACTGCAGCCTTAAATAGGAGTCGATGCTCATCAGGGAGATGACCGCCAGGTGTAGGTCGTTAGCGGCCATCTTGGAAGCTGCAGCAGAGCTACTCTCACAAAGATAACTTGTGAGTGGAGTGTTTAATCAGTGACATGAGACGCCATTTTATCTTTGACCCATCAGAATAAATGCGGTCATTTATTTAACAAAATCTAATTTTAACATCAAAAAATGTACACATTGATTTGCTGATCTGTTTCTGATTAATAAACTTGGCACGCTTTACTAACAAGACAACAGAACATCACTGATTGAGACTGATTCATCTCTGAAGGCATCTAGCTTGATTTACTGGCGAATAGAGAAGTTTAAGAGAGGAGGAATAGATTTAAGGATGAAGTTTTAGATGGATGAAAGTTATGTGTTGAACAAGAACATGGCACCCTTCCTCCGACATCCAGCTCAGCCCTCCGGTACACTTCAGGGCGTCAACGGCTTGTTACCCGAGATGGTGGATACCTCCACTCCGGAACAGAAGTCCATTGGTATGCCGTCTTTTCAGCGTCTCCGGTTAGAGTAGCTGGGGGTCATCAGAAATGGTGATGAAGTACTCTGTTCAACCGAATAAGCTTCCTTAGAAGTTGAGCTTTTAATGCTCGGGTTGAGTCACAGCCGAGGCAGGCTGTGACAACGCTGGAATGGAGAGACCCTTGGCACATGTTCAAATCCATCCGCTA